CCCCCGCACGGCGCAGGTGGGGGGCTGGCGAGGCCCTCCCCCCCCCTTCCTCACCCCTCCCTTCGCCCCTTTCGCCCATGGCAAGCCGCGACGCCTCACGGGCGAGCTGCTGGTGGATCGCGGCCTTGCAGGCCCAGGCCGAGAGGGACTCGTCGGGGTTAAGGCCGAAGACCGCCATGGAGACACCGCGCTCGGCCAACTGGAGATAGAACTCCGCCACGCGAGGGAAGAAGACCGCCCCGGCAGTCCGAGTGATCCAGTTGAAGCCCTCCGCATTTTCGGGGGAAGTCATGCCGGTGCTGATGTCATCCATGATCTTGGAGCTCAGGTCTTGGAGCATGGCGTGAAAGGTTCTGAGGTCGTTGAGGTTCTGGTTCTCGCCGAGGCTAAGATAGCAGTCTATTAGGTGGAGCATCTGATCGATCTGAGATTCCATGGTCTGCTGGAAAATGTCCCCGGGACGCGGTGGGACCTTCACCGAGGGGGATTTTTGTGCATCCTTGGGATAGGAGATTTCAATGCACGTTGAAAAAGAAGTGGATTGGGGGGAAGTGGACAGTCGGTCGCTTGCATATCGCACCTGTGTGTCTTCTTCGTGAGATGAGGGAACTTCAATGTGGGGCTCTCCGCGGTGAACATCAGTGAGAGCATCGGTCGATTTTAATGTCTCTGTGTACCCCGCAGCACGACCGAAGTCCACGTCAGGTTTCAAGGGAGGAAACTCACAGTCTATTTTAGATACTTCCGGTTTAATGACAGCTTCGCATACCTCAGTTTCCCTGATGTGAGACTCTTCTACCTCGGAAGATGAATTTTTCCGCTCACCTTCTGTTTTAGCATTTAACTCTTCTACTTCAAATTCAAAGTTCATGCTGTCTCCATCTCCAGAGACACCAAGCCAATCCGCATCGTCATCGAGAACGTTTTCCTCAGCAGTCTTATCAATTTCTAGAATGATGTTCAGCTGATGGGTGCTTGAACCATCCTGTACCTGCAGCAAACACCATGAAGAGGCGTTATCCGACTCCCACGTCATCCCCTTCGCCAGGTGCCGCAGGGCGAGATACTCATTGCTCGGCTTCTCATGATTGATAAGACGCAAAAATTGTCGAGGATAGCATGCGATCCATTGAAAGAGCAGGGGGCAACTGGCATAAATTTGCTTAAGAACCTTTTCAAGCTTGCCAAGGTCCCCGTTGACTTCGGCGGTGATGAACTGCATTGTCGGGTGGTCATACAGATCCCACGGGTAATTTGGGAGGTACTGATCCGAGCCCCACACCTGGCTGGCGATTGCGAACATCTCCTGTAGCCCGTGTGGACAGTGCGGGTACGGCAGCGGCCCTTCGAACCCTGGCGCGGCGTTGCCCGGAACAAGTGTCGGTGACGACGCCTCCCGAAACTTCGATTTAATGCGCGGCAACTGTTGTGAGGCGCCTATGGAAGAAGGCAAAGTCGCCCCCGCCCCCCGCCGCGATGGCCGCCCGAAGATCACCACAACGTTCGTGGCGGCCTCCGCCAGCGAGCAGGAGCAGTTGGGAGGCGCCGTCCCCAACCTTGCCTGCCGAGACTCAGGGAGAACTCCTACTAAATTCCAGTCGATCAGGTCATGCGCGCCCTTCGTGTCGCCCCCATTTCCATTACTATTACCCTTGCCATCCCCCGCGGCGGCATTCCGGGCCAGGTCTGCGAGACAGTGGACGGTCCCTTTGTAGATCATTTTAATACTTTTTCGTTGATAGCCAAAGTGGCTCTCGGCCAGTTCTAGGATGTGGGAATAGGTGTAGGGGGGATAAAGCCGCGCGGTGCGTCCGGTGATGGACTGTAAGACCGCATACTCCGCTGGTGGACCCTTAGACATGGGTATATGCCTATGAGGTCAAAAAGCACGAGTGCGAAAGCTGAAAAGTCGTAAAAAGAATAACTAAAAACCAAAAAAAATGACCTTTTTAAAAAATTTTCCGTTTCTAAAAATAAAAATAAATACATAAGATGGAATAGGTCAGAAAACATTGGAAAAAACACTCATAAAACGATAAGAAAAAAATTTATGGTGGTAAGCTAGTTGTTCATATTT